GTGTTATTTCCTTACGGCTTAATCAAGAAAACGGTAAGAGTTACGGGCTGGTTTTTTCCGGTATAGTGCCGAGAAAACTCTGACGAATGTTTTTTAAATCAGTCGGTGGTTTAAAGTGGTTTAATTGATCATTTTGTGACCCAAAATAATAGGCGGATTTATACTTTTTCATTTCAACTGCGATAGTAAAGTCTCGGCCGTTGGCACGGGTTACACTAGTATCTTACTATATATAAATCGAGACGATATATATGGATCCGCACAATTTTACTGACACCACGGCATCAACTTTAACGCGACTTTCCGCAAAAACCGTAAAAGATATACAACTGAAACTTTTTTGACTGGGTCAAATGCTTTAATGGCCTCCAATTCAGCATGAAAAATAAAAAATTGGCCAAGGAATAGGAGTTTTAGAGCCTAAAATTTGGACCCCAAGTGGTGTCAAAAACGCGAATTGAATAGGTAATAATTATTTTAGTCTCTTCAGTCTTGACACCATTTTAGGGTTATACGGGTTCCTGCTAGTTAATATAATCGCGGGTTTACTACGACATGAAGAAGAAGTGTTGATATAGCGTTGATTTTTTGAATTTGTTGGCTATTTACCATGCTGCTATTAACTTGATTTTACTTTTCGTAACCTTAAATGTTGGTTCTTTCTGTCCCAAAAGTATGCCATCTCCGAGAAGTAATAGTTGGTATTTGGCATCGCCACTGGCAAAGTACTGGTCAATGAAGTCCAAACATGTTTAAACTTTTTAAAACTGGGAACTGGTCACTCAGGCAGACGATTTAGAACACAAATCAATGATTTTTCAGATTCGCTGGTGTATTTCAAAGCCTGACATTATCTATCATCATATGTCTGAATATTAGTTATGGGGAGTTCATCATGTGCATATAATAAAATTCCACCTCCAACCTTAACTTCTCTATCAATGTAGGACTTAAGCCATGTCTCCGCTAATGTGACTAATGGAACCCGAACAGTGTGGTCCTTGGCTTTTTCCTATCTCAATTGGTGTTCAATAAGCTTATAAGGATTGAGAGGCTTTTCATCTGGAGATACCATGGATTTAAGCTAATCCAACAATTACACGCATACATTTATGAGCCCTTCATAGTGACTAGTGAGCCCGTCCTATCCAGTGGCGTAACGTTACCCTCTCTCTCTCTCTCTCTCTCTCTCTCTCTCTCTCTCTCTCTCTCTCTCTCTCTCTCTCTCTCTCTCTCTCTCTCTCTCTCTCTCTCTCTCTCCCCCTCTCTCTCTCTCTCTCTCTCTCTCTCTCTCTCTCTCTCTCTCTCTCTCTCTCTCTCTCTCTCTCTCCCCCTCTCTCTCTCTCTCTCTCTCTCTCTCTCTCTCTCTCTCTCTCTCTCTCTCTCTCTCTCTCTCTCTCTCTCTCTCTCTCTCTCGTATGCAAAGTTTGCAGATCAGCGCAGAATATCCCGACAAAACTCAATGTGCAGTCATAAGCACTTATAATTAGTTTTAAGGTACATTCCATACCCACCCACATCGTGAATATGGATGTTGAACTACCGATTGGGTCTTTACTCTTTAAGTCACCTTATTGCGGGAGCTGGAGCACTGCAAACAATGTTGAAACTCAGAAACTTTAAATCTTACACTCTTACAGTTTACAACAGATTTACCTTCTTAAAGTGCTCTAATATGACTTAAGCAATCAAAGCAAGGTAGCTGCATTTTCATGGGTTGTTTTTTTTTTTGTATAAGTATTAAGTATATTATTAGTATTAAGTATATTAAGGAATGATATTGGTGACTTATCATGGTGAATTCGTTTGGGTTAAATTATAAACGGCCATTAAAAGGAGAAATGAAAGAAGCAATTTGTCTAAACTCTAAAGCTAGCCAATTTTATTGATTTAAACTATTTTGAATTAATTCTGGCCAAAAACAACTAACAATCATAGCTGTTCCAGACGCTAAAACTGAGTCCACTACGTCCAAGATTGTGAATCTACTGACGGATTATAAGGGACAGTGCAGTTGTGGGAGTCAAAATAAACATCTTCTGAATATTCGCGAAATATACATCTTCTGAATATTCGCGAAATGTCCTAACGTTCTCATTTAAATATGTAAACATTCCACACATATTATCAAATTATATTCTACGCAAATCATTTGTAAGACCACAAACATATTATTCGTTAAACAGCTTCAAATCGTTACAATCACCAGTGGGTCTCCTCTTCGTGGCGGAAGACTCATTAACTAAAACATAATTAATCAAAGTAGGTATAATGCAAAATACAGTTTAAATGGATGTAGAAGATTGCCATCCTAGATTCTGACGAAACAATCTATACAACTAGAAGCCCGCTAGCCGGGGGAATTTCGTCAAGTTTAAATATAATATAGATTTACTAGCAGATAAATATATCAAGTTATTTTATTATTATTATCAAATTTCAATAAAACTTTATTCGAGAAATAATGTGTTTAAATGTTAGGTCTAGTGCAGACGATTTGATAGACTTATACCGTGTAAAGTAAACGTCAACAATTAGAACGATTGCTTTTATTTATCGTATATTTATTATATAGTTATTTTTTCTAAAGAATAAAAAGTCCAAAGTTGATGACAGACGTTAAGTAAAGTAAACGTCAACAAGAACGATTGCTTTTATTTGTCGTCTATTTATCATAGAGTTATTATAGCTATCCGTTGTTAAGAACTATTAGAAGTAACGATATCAAAATTATAATAAACATATTATCTCTTTTCTTCTTTTAGAGTGAACGGCATGTCTTAGTTAGTTAAGGGGGCCGGGGGGTCTTCATTAAAATTCTCTCGAAATTGACTTTATAGTTGTTTCTAATAGAGGGGAGTAATATCTACCGGTTGCTTTTGGTCCCATGGAAAAATATTATTCCTAGCCGAAATTATCGCCGGTCTAAGATCAGCGCTCATGAGTAATTGCATAGTACGAGCGAGTTCTGAAAATCGCTCGAAATTGACTTTATAGTTGTTTCTAATAGAGGGGAGTAATATCTACCGGTTGCTTTTGGTCCCATGGAAAAATATTATTCCTAGCCGAAATTATCGCCGGTCTAAGGTCAGCGCTCATGAGTAATTGTATAGTGCGAGCGAGTTCTGAAAATCGAGTCTAAAAATCTATCTTATCCTACATCACCCTGAAACTTTTAGGATATTTTCTAGGGACCATTTAGAAGGAGATCACTCATGGGACCAAAAGCAGATGATAGATATCACTCCCCTCTATCAGAAACAACAATAAAGTCAATTTCGAAAGAATTTTGATAAGCCCCCCCCCCCCCCCCCCCCCCCCCCCCCCCCCCTTAATGCTTTAATGACAGTTGATATTATCTTATTATGAAACTAGGTACGAGGTACTTAAACGTTTAACAATAGAACAGTTTTGCGATATTTAGCCTTCGAGTTGCAGTCTCGTTGGAGACTTCACTATTTATTCATTAATTATATTTGGCCATGTTATCAAACGAAGGCTAAACATGATCTTAAAATATTGACTGCCTAGATGAGGGTATATTGTCATCTGTCTTTCATTCTTTCATTCATTGAAGCCTTATTATCAAGCCTTGCTAGAGAGCTAGAGCTAAACATGTTTGAACCATTTTCCGGTCCGGCAAAATCTGGCAAACCGGAAAATAGATTTGTTTCCGGTTTGGCAGCTAAAACCCCCGACCGGTCGGTTCCTAGACGGAATAATACAGAAATCGGACGTTTTTTCCAAATCAAATAAAATAACTCTCAGTTAAAGCTATCAAATTCCTAACGACTTTAAAACTAACTTTGAAATTAAAAGGGCTGGCTACTTATTATCAAAAATTAAATTGAGTACCGTGTGTTTTATTTTATGTTATAATATGATAATGAGTCAAATGGGCTCAGTCGAGGCAAAAAATGACTTGAAGCACAGTTTGGGGAAACTAAACATACTTGGGACACCATTGGGGCACAGTTGGTGCACAGCTGGGGCAAAAAGTTAAATATTCCACGTGACCCCTCGATCACATTCCCTCGTCAATGAAGTTATTTGAGATACTTCACGTGAAGTTTTTTTTGCCTCGACTGTGCCCCAGCTGTGCCCCAACTGTATTTGCCAAGACTATCATGCCCCACGTGTGCCCCAAGTAACTTTTTGCCCCAAGTATGCGCCAGGAAGGGTTGTAACTAAAACTTGAAGTGTGAGACTGACCCCCAGGTGGTGTAAATACTTTTCGCCACAAAATATTTATATTTATATTTTAAATCACGTAGTATTTGGATTTATAAATCCAATTACACGACGAGATTTAAAATTGTTCCAGTGTCAGTGTCAGTGGTGGTAACCAGGTAACTGATAACGACCAGTTCTTTTATTACGACCGTTAAAATATCACAGCATAATTGGCTAGATAAAACCGAGACAACGGAGATCAAGAATTCCTTAAATTTGTTGGAAACTTTGTGGCTGGGTGGCCTAGTGGTTAGAACTTCCACCTTCTGTACAAAAGGTCCACCGTCCAAGGTTTGAATCCCAGTGTCCACTCAGTCTAAAGAGTAGCTAAGGATTCATTGGATCTATGCGATCTCCTCGGTCGACCCAGCCGAATGATAGGAAACTTGATTGAGGGTTAAATGAGGAGGGGTGCCTGTGCCAAGAATCTTAGGATACTTCTTCAGAACATCTACAATGTAGTGTACTGTAAGAAAAGACCCTGTAGAGGAATCTACGAACTTTACAAATCATTCAAATTACTATTATACTAACTACTAAGCCTTCTTTTTCAGTAAAGAGTTCGGCACAGTCAAATACATGCATACGCTCTACTGCGTATATAATATTTACTGAATTTTTCCCACTGAGAAAGTAATGTCAGGTGGTCTTCTAACCATTTAACAGCATGTGAGCACTCGGCGCCAGCTCTCATTAATTAAACCAACAAAAAAACTTATTTAACCTTTAATATTCAAATTTTGAAATAATAAATTCGCCTACTTCAGCACATCTTCGAGTTGGAAGTTCACCGTATCTACACAGAGCAACGCAACGGTGTGGAAAAGGCGCTGGAGTCTCGCCAGGTGAGATAAATCTTTCCAGCCTCATAAATATTAAATAATTATAATTAATCACCAAATTAAAATTAACGTCCCGTCGTTATGACCATGATAACGTCCATGCACAATACAGGAGCGTTTTACAGAGTAGTTCCTTGAAGTTATTTTAATTTTACTCAGTGGCTGGCATCATTTCTGGAGCCCGCCAAGCTGTACTACAATACTACAATACAACATGAACTATTTGACCAGACTCAACAATGATGTTCAATTTGGTTTACAAAAGCAAGATTGCGCGGTTTTGTCTAATTTTGTGTATTTGGACTGAGGTGTACTCTTTGCCGCTGATTTTAATTTTCTCTCATGACTGGAATTAAAATGACGTGATTGGAATTGCAGGATTTGGGAGGGAACAGCAAGTGGTGTTTCGGAAACGATCTTATCAACGATCTAAAACGGCGAGCTCCCCATTACCTTTCAGATTATACAGACGGTAAATATGTTTATATTGTCCGTTTAACTGCGGTGGACTTAGGGTCATAGAGCTGATCCAGCCCCCAGAGAGACCACATCATACCAAATGGGCTAGATCTAAGTGTTAATACTCGGCCTAGAACTTAGGTATAAATATTGTAAGATTGAAGAAAGTAGTATCACATTCTATCAACTTACAACATTCTATCAACTATCAACATGCCAACCTTCTCCTCCACCCCCCCCCCCCCCCCCCCCCCCCCCCCCCCCCCCCCCCCCCCCCCCCCCCCCCACAACAACTATGTAGATAGCTGACGGGACCTTTTACCTGGCACCTAAGATTTGAAGCAACTTACAATATACATGGCCATTGGAGATTTGAAGATTATACTACTTCGACTGTATGAATATTAAATCCGTACGTAAGCATGTGAATGGATCGGAACCTGTTACGGCTGTTACGCCGTACATTAAGGGATGTGTGTGATGCAGTCCCCTGATCCAACGACTAAGAGGAGACCTCTTCATGTTATTATGTTATAGCATGTATTTATGTATGTAATAAATTATGCAATTTCGCTTGGTGCTTAACCATTATGTAAGTTATATAGTCCTGCTAATGCTCGCCCGTGAGCTAGGTGCTACCGCCTCTCACATTTCCGGACATAAGAATGAGTGACTAAGTCTTAGTTCTTACTGACTATACTGTTTTCAAAAAACAGTGACCAAATTAGTGACCTATTTGCAAAAATTAGACTCAATGAATGGAGACATACATTGGGCATTTAACAATTAAAAACTTAAGTTACATGTTTCCGGCCTTTGTATTTTTGCGGCCCTGATCGTTTCTAAACCATTACAGCATAACGAAAGCCAGAAAACTTAGTACCAGTCAAGTTCATTGTTAATGAATAATTAACACACATCGTAATTTATCGTGCATCTATAATTATAAATTATAATGCAACGATACTTTACCTGGTCGTCTACTAAACTTATAATATCCTGCTGAGATCTTACAAAATTAACAAAAACGAGTAATATACTAAATTGAGGCCATTGTTCAATAAAACCAGCAAGTTTAAAAACATTTGCCGACCGGAAAGACTGAATGTAGGTTATTTTGAAACCTATGTTTTCCAGCTACTCCGACGAAATTAATCTATCGTCTTTTAGATATTATTATATTATTCATTGAACAACAATACTTAAATTATAAATTCAAATTCGACGTTGAAGAAACTTTATGGGCGCATCTCTTCTCCGCCGTACTATATCAAACACGTGATAGTAAACACGTTGTAATGTCCAATGAAGAAGTACTTGGAGCTAGACAGTACCTCACGTGCCGCACAACTATTGTTTATGAATATCTATGGTTGAGCACACGATAATTTGGCAGTTGGCTCGAGCGGATATGGCCGCCCTGCCAGCATTCTACCGACGCCCTACCGGCAGCATTATCCGCTGGAACTACCACAAACATAAGATTTACAAAACATGAGTAAAGTGGTAAATACAGATTCATATCACGTGGAACTCAGCAGGTATATACGCTTGTTTAAGCCGCTGTGTAACTATCTCAGCAGTTCAAATCGAGGCCAACTCGCTGTTCAACAAACATGTTATGAAGATAAACTGTATATAACTGTAAAATAGTATAATCTTTTTCAAATATAGGGTCAAAGAAGGGGGGCAATTCCATTGCCTATTTATTCCTCAACTTTTGGTCAAATGGGCATTGATTTGCATTGCTGATTTTAAGGTTTTGCCCATTGAGCAAAACCTTAAAACCAGTTAAAAATTGAGTTATGATGAAAATGAACATGACTATCGTGTTGGTCATCCTTTAGTTCGCAATCAGAAATATTTATTTTAAGATACCATAATATGTGCCCATTTATTCCTTAACTTTTGGTCGAATGGACATGGACATTGATCGGGTTGTAAGATCATTATTATTTTCTATCAGAAAACAAATTGAGATGGATTTGGTTTGTTTAAAAAATATCGTTTTTCTTTCTCAACAACACATTCCATCTGCACGTGCCATCATTCAGACAATTATAAGTATGTAATGTCGGTTTATCGTAAACTTCATTTATGTTAATCTCATGACAATCATGATGGTATTGATAGTATAATATCTGGATGTATGACTATGAAAGTATGTTTCCGAAAGTATGTTTCAGAAAACTTAACGTAAGGCCATCAGGTCAACTTGTCAAAAGATGCTTTATCACCGTCTGAGACTGGGGTTTCAACCAAAACATTTGTTCGATTGTAAGCCCCATGAATCATAACTGCTACCACTAGTGTGTAGATCAATTAAAAATTGGTTAATTTATTGACGAAGATTGCAAACATTTGTTTCAAGTTTTCGTTGGATGATTCACCTATAATGTAAATTTTACAATTTGCATAACGTACTAATCCTCAGGGCTGAACACGTGTGCTGGCATACAGAAGATCATTTCAACCATCATGTTCCTTTTCTTCTCCCTCATCATTCCTTGTATTGCATTTGGAGTTCTCTTCAGTTCATTAACCCATGGTATCATCGGTATGTAGATGAAACAAAGTAACCTTATAATTTCAATTAGCAAGTAAAAATGTCAGTAAACGTGTCAACTGTCAATTGTTATTTTTAATCAAGAACGGAGTAGAGCTCGAGATGTTAAAAATGCTAGATCCTACTTTTCTTTGATACGACAAAATTAATATTTTCACATCGTGTAATACAGATACTTTCAGATGTTAGGAAAGTGATTTTATCGCAAGCCTTAGCTGGTTCATTGTTTTCTATATTCGGTGGTCAACCTTTACTAGTTATCCGTGCCACGATACCTCTCACTATTTTCACAAAAGGTAGAAACTAATTGTTCAATGTGTATCAGTGATGTTTATTGTTTATTGTTAAAAGGTTTTGTCATTAAAGTAACTATGTAACTAAACCTTATGAGCAAACTAAACGTTTCAAACAGAATGATCAAAATATTTGGTAAATTAAGTATATTTGGTAAAGTAAGATGTACATTTGGTAACGTAAGTTTATTTACAATCCAGTAATTTTTAGTGATTTACTCGATCAGCGACGAGAAGGAAATGGATTTCCACACATTTTACGCAATGACTGGGTTGTGGACCAGCATCTTTCTGGTAATCAGTTCGCTAACCGGCATAAGCAGTGTAAGTATATCAGTAGTCGAATATTTGGCATAACATTATAAATTCTAGTGAGCAGTTTTCATGCCCAGAGACGAGAATCTGGTATCTGTACATGAGAATCGGTTTTAAGTGTTATAGTTCTTCTCGGTTGATTTGTCTGCCAAATTAAACGGGGCTAATTACAACGTTATCAAAGCTTTACATTGTTGGCTTAAAAAACTGTAACTTGATAAGTAGAAACTGCTTTGTTGACTGTAAAATATTTCAGCTCATGAAGTACTGTTCTCGATCAACCGAAGAAATATTTGCGCTTTTTATCTCCATTGCCTTCACCGTGGACTCCATCAAGTTTCTGGTGCATGAATTCGACTACAATTTCTGCTTCGACTCCGTGGTAAATATTTCAGGACTAAAATTCATTTTATGAAATATATTTTAATCAATTTGCTAGAAATTTTAAGTAAAAACTACATGATAATGTTTGCCTCATATATTTCATTTCATGATACAGGCTGTAGAGTGTAAACAAAATTCCTATAAAAAGCATCGACAAATAAAAGGCTGTCGTTGCGAGGATCATTATACCGCATAATTCACCATTCTCGTATTCATCCGGGTTCAAGAATTTTTCTGGAAACGCCTCTTTCATTATAAAGACAACATGTTACATGTCCTATTATATGTCCTTTATTGCATATAATGCGCCGACATTCTATGCGTATTGTGCAATTAGCATAAGCCCGACTTGGTGCATTTTAGACATCCAATTACAGTATCAGTTTCCAACATCTTCCACTGGAAGATTTTTCCAGATCTACTTATGATCAACAAACTTCTCCGGCAGGAAGACTGTAATGTTCCTAAAGCCCTGCTCAGCCTCATCCTCTTAGTAGGAACAGTACTGATTGGATGTGAGATCTACAACTTCCGTTACTCCCCCTACCTCACCGCCGCCAAGAGAACCCTATTGGCTGACTACGCCCTTCCAGTCGCCGTGCTTCTCATGGCTTTTGCTGGTAGTTGGCTCTTCAGAAGAGTTGAGATGGGAACCTTTGACGACAAAAATCCCACAAGCTTTCAGTACACAGCTTGGGGAGAGGTGTCAGTTGGGATGGTATTGGGCAGCATGGGTCTGGGTTCGCTGCAGAGCCTGCTCATTTTTATGGATCAGAATATTGCTGCTAACATTGTTAATAATCCTTCCAACAGGTTAGTCTTATTGTTAGCATTTAGTATTTACTTAATCTTGCGACTTGCAGTTAAAACTTAAATTCTATAAACGATTACTATATTCAAATAATGCTTGTTTAAAATTGTTGACGCATAAGCGCACCATCATTTTTTGTTACAATGTTTCACTCTTCCTTTACTTCTGCCAACCACTTTTCACCCACCCAGGTTAAAAAAAGGACCTGCCTATCACTGGGACCTGATGGCTGTTGCAGTGATAAACGTCGTCTTGGCCCTGTTTGGATTACCACTGGTCCACGGCGCCCTGCCCCATTCTCCACTACACGTCAGAGCGCTGGCAGATATTGAAGAGAAGTGTGATCACGGACATGTTAGAGAAATGTAAGTTTTAGTTAGGATCCTGTATCAACAGAGTTGATGTGGGCGATCATCAACTAACATATTTCCAGTTTGTTTGTTTCACAAAAATTGAGGTTGCAGGAGGCAGGCAACAATTTCCCCTTTCTTCCGCATCTTTAGTCATGGAATTTCACCTACAATATCCCACAGTATCGTCAGTGTCAGAGAAACTCGAGTAACCTCTCTAGTATGCCACGTGCTTATTTGGATCTGCGCTTTGTTCCTCATTCCCAAACCTCTGAACTATATCCCGATCCCTGTCCTATACGGTCTGTTCGTCTTCCTGGCTATTGTGGCTCTTGACGATATTCAGCTTTGGGAGCGAATGTTACTCATATTTACCGAACAGGTTTGTGTTTTATGTTTTTTCAAGAAGGTAGTTTGTAAGTTATTCAGTTAGTAAGTTGGTCAGTTAGTTAGTCAGTTAGTTAGTTAGTTAGTTAGTTAGTTAGTTAGTTAGTTAGTTAGTTAGTTAGTTAGTTAGTTAGTTAGTTAGTTAGTTAGTTAGTTAGTTAGTTAGTTAGTTAGTTAGTTAGTTAGTTAATTAGTTAGTTAGTTAGTTATTTAGTTAGTTAGTTAGTTAATTGGTTAGTTAGTTAGTTAGTTAGTTAGTTAGTTAGTTAGTTAGTTAGTTAGTTAGTTAGTTAGTTAGTTAGTTAGTTAGTTAGTTAGTTAGTTAGTTAGTTAGTTGGTTAATTAGTTGGTTAGTTAGTTGGTTAGTAAGTTAATCACTTAATCTGTAATCATAATATTTCAGAACTCCTACCCTCCCACGAGTTACATAAGAAAAGTACCCCAGAAAGCGGTCCACACTTTTACCATTATACAAGTGATACAGCTTGCGGTTCTTTGCGCGATTTCCTTCTCTGGCTCTCCTTATCTGAAAATGTTATTCCCGGCTCTCCTCATACTCATGATCCCCATCAGGTAAAGGAATTTTGTCATTATATATAATAATTATAAATCAAGAGGCTTGCATATAATGAACATATTGACACGGGTGCAGAGTTGAGTCTGTACGGAACCTAGTAGTATATTATATATATTATATATATTATATAAATATTGTTCCTTGGATTCATTGGAGTCTTTGGACCTGGATTCTTCGGCTACTTAAAACATGGCATGAAATACGGCTGTGGCTAGAAAACCCATCCCCATGAATATATATATTGTTTTCGATCAATAAATCAAATAATAACTCACACAATTACATGTAACTTATGGAATGTTTTAAAACTTCAGTGCAAGGTTATCCATATAATGTCGATCCAAAAAGTTCAAAGTTTGATAAATATTAAATACCGAAATAAATCTCTTATATTAGTTTTCCTCAGATCGAAATTGGTCCCGAAGCTGATCAAAGAGCAATACCTGAAAGCCCTTGATGGACACATTTGAGGCAGTCACCAATGTCCATGCCCCATGGTACATACGACAGCCTTAATTTTGCCGATGCAGAAGACTTGAATAAGAAATGCCCACTTTTTATTTCAGATTTGACTTATTGGTTTTTAATAAGTGCTTTTGTGGGACATTTTTATGTTTCTTAAACATTGTTTCTCTAATAATGCTTCGGTGGAGGGCACAGGGAGACTAAAGTGCAAAGAAACTGCTGCTAACTGGGGGGCAACTCCATGCCAATTTATTACTCAACCTTTAAGTCAAATGGGCACGGGCATCGATGGGTCGGGTTGCCCCTTCTCCTTTGCCTAACCCTCTCCCCCTTCCCCCTCCCCAATGCCTAAGCACCCCGGCCCTGGCCCTTAGTTAACTTTCATAATCATGGTTTGAAAGCGAGTAATTTTGAACATTGACATAAGGAAACAACTTGCTTGAATAAATGGTAGTTTTTTTTTCAGTACAGAGCAGAGGATGGAATTGGCTTTTGTAGGTTTATAACCTACCAGGACGCGCGCCGAGTTGGACTCGTGGAACAAATATGAATATTTTACGAGTATCACCCGTTAAAATTGGCTTATGCCTAATATCGGCGAAAAATAAATACGTAGTAGTTTTTTAGATAAAATATTTGTTCCAAATATATCAATGGTCGTCCATCTCCATTTTCCATACTCGGCGGACGTCTTAGTGGGTTTTTAACGTAACTTGACATGCAGGCGATTAAAAAACTGATTCAATTGTTTACTGTTGAGGTAATAAGTATTTGTAATTGTATAGGAGGTGCACGAAAAAATTAAACTTGCTTGGATTTTCAACATTTTTGTACCATTGTTTTCTTGAAAATGTGAATTTTTTTAAAATTTTGCCTTGTATTGGTGCCATATTTAACGACGCGCGGCTTTCTATTTTGGAGCTAAATTGGTAATTTGACTTAATTCATGATTCATTGATTTTCGTCGTACTATTCCGTTTTTTCATACGTTGTAGGCCTGCCGCTACTAGTGCCATTTAGTGAAACGACAATCATGGCCGGGGGTCACGACATGATACAACTTTTGTCATACTCATATCTTAGGTTCCTGGAAGGGAATCATAATTTGAAAATTCGTAACGACGCTTTGGTGAATATCGGAATTGACACAGTGATGGAAATTTGAAATTGGGGAAAATTAAAAGTTGTTATTATGTTCAACATAATTTTTAATGGTTGGGTATCAAATATGCTCAAACTTCTTCTTACTGGGCGGCGCTCGGCCTGTCATTCCGCCAAATCTTTATTTATGAACATAATAGCCTGGGGTCCCCTTGTCATACGTTGTATGACCCACCGCGCACGAAGTGCGCGGCTCCCCTCGTATCGTCAGGACGATAGTGAAACGACCGTGGGGGTCGCAACGTGATACAAGGGTCCCCGGGTAAACTTCTTCCAAAGGTTTTTTGTAAGTATAAGTAAGCTTACCAATTTTTGTTAACATTGGGTTGAGGGAAGGTTACCAAATATCAAATATGCATTTATATCAAGACTTTCGTATTTTCTGCTGGCCGAAAAATTCTTAGCGTTAAAAAAACATAATACAGTCGGTACACGCGGCGCACTGCTTATAATATAATAAAAAGGTTATACTGTATACAGCTCAAAGAAACTGCTGCTGTCGCGCGCGCGCCCCATTTGCAGCAGTTGCGCGCGGCGTGCGCTGCGCTGTAAAGACAGGTACACAACTGCTACTGACTGCTGCAAATGGCGCGCGCGCGACAACAGCAGTTAGCAGCAGTTAGCAGTAGTTTCCTTGCACTGTTATAAATATAGTTCCCCTGTGTTATATATAAATTTGAAACTTGGTTCGTGATTACCGATGGCCGGTGGTATTCAAGCATTTAGTATTGGTACTTTAATTGCCTTGTAGGTTTATAACCTACCAAAACGCACGCCTAATTGGACTTTGCTCTATCCAGAGCCCTTGCGCTTGCAGTAGTAGCGCGCGCCCGCCTCACGGCGGTAAAAAGGGCTCTAGCCATCAACCCACCCAATGATTTTGGCACCACTCTACAGTGGTGCCAAAATTACCCGCGCTTTTGTCCTCATATGCGACGTGTGTAGCCTTTCAGATATTGATTGCGTGAACGAGGTGTCGTACGTCACCCCAAGATCGGGTGACAGGGGGCTGACCATGCCCGAACCTAATTGATCATTGATTGGGTCTGAGGTCACGTGATTATGAGCCTATGAGGTCACATGACTATGACGTCACCAGACCTTTCCCGCTCATTGGACCAGGTGAGCTTGCATGCTTGTAAATGTAGGTGTAAGTACACTGTACAGCTGTACTGTAGTTTATACCTAATTAACCCCTATACACTGTCACTATATGTATATGCACTAAAGAAACCTGAAAAGTGGTTACTGCATACTGGAGGGAGAAGTGCCAAGACTACCTGCGCTACATAGACGCTGTTGTCAGCACTGCGCACGCGCGCACGAACCTTCCCATCGGGGTTCGTGGATAGGTGCTTTTCTTGACTTGTGAAACAAGCGCGCCCGAAGTGGCGCGAAAGCACATGGTTAGGTGAAATTGGACTCGTACGTCGACTTTATCAGCTAGAATTTTATACCATGTGGCGCGCTAGCTGCTAGTGCTGCTCTAACCAGAGCCCTCTCGCTTGCAGTAGCACGCAACCGCCGAAGGTGGAACAAGCACGTCACGCAGTACGCGTACACACATGGCTATGTGAACTGCTAGTGTATTGCTCTAACCAGAGCCCTTTCGCTTGCAGTAGCGCGCGACCGCCGGCCGAAGCACGAAGCTTTTGCCATTCACACTTGTATCACGTGGTGACCCCTTGATTGACGATGTCAATCCGTCGAGATCGTTGCTCTGCGAAGCAAGAATGCTAGTTTGCTAGTTTGCGCGGCGCGTCGAAGCGGCGAAGTCCTCCAAGGTGACCCCCCACTGTCGCTTCACTATGTATCGTCTTCGACGATACAGGGGAGCCGCGCACTTCGTGCGCGGCGGGTCATACACCGTATGACAAATTTACACTACTCATGTATATTTATAAAATGTGATAGTATGCTTGATGCTATATTTGGTAATATATTTATTAATTGATTGTGTAATAAATTGGTGATAAATGATAAAATTGTCTTTTTTCAAAAAATTTTGTTTTTTTGGATCGAACAAATATTTTAAAAATATCGCCCCTTGATTATTACCGACTTAAAGCACCGGAGGGCCAAAGTGCAAAAAACTAGTTAGCAGTAGTGAGCAGCAGTTAGCAGCAGTTATTAGCAGTTAGCAGTTTCTTTTATATAACTTTTTATATAACTTTTTATATAACTTTTTATATAACTTTTTATATAACTTTTTATAATTCTAAGAGAATAAATCAATGAAACAAGAAATTTTCAATGAAACAAGAAATTTAATTTTTAGCACATTTTACAGAATAAAAAGATGTAAAGCAATTAATAAAAATATAATGCCTATGTGGTGTATGACTTTTTTTCTTGACGGACTGCTAGTTTGATTTTGAAAGAACAGGCAATTAACGGGGCAAGGAATGTGCATGCCTGAAAGCTTTTGCACACACACCGTAACGCTTTACTAGTTCAATTGAGTTTGTAGAGACTAAGGCTCATATTAGGACCAGAAGAAAATTGTTAGCAGACATCAGGGGTTCTGTTTAAAATTTTTTTTAAAAAGGGGGGACCCCCATAGTAGAGGCTCTTACGGGCAAAAAGACGTGTTTTCTGCTACGAGTTTAGAGACCTAACCGCTAATTGGACACAATAGTATGATGTCTAAGGATCGATAATATGTTAAGAAGTATAAATTTGGACTTATTAGTCACGTGCTATACCAATGCGCGTTTTAAACTTTGACAGTCTATTACTCTAAGGCAAATAGAGTAATTATATTCATATTTTGTCAGCAATAAGATCACATTATTTTCTATTTAGTGTGAAAATATGAGCTAGAACGGACATAATCTCGCTGAGTTATAGCTGTTTGAAATTTATGATGAACGCGCGGGTGCCAATTGATAACAACTAAATGCTTTTGCGCGTAGTGCGCGTCGAAAATTTGGCAAAAACGCTTGCGGAGTGACATAATTCAAACTTCGATAAAGTATATGAAGTGGGTACTTCTCGGAAAGGAAAAATTTAGGCAAACACGATGTGACTATTTTTGGGTTGATTTAATACAACTGCAAAAAATTATTCAAACTTCAAGCAAAAAAGTCAAAATTTTTACCACTTTTTTGGATTTTTACCTCAGAACAAATAGAGGGATTTGTTTTATTTTTATACAATCTTGTGCGGCTGTCTTTTAGCTATCTTTATGCAAGTTTTGCCGACATGCCAACAAAATTAACTTGCTCAAAATATCAAAAAACATGGTTTTTTGGCCTATTTTTGGCCCAAAAATCGGTTTTTTGCGATTTTACCCCAGAACAATCAGTCCAATCATCTTGAAACCACTTTCAATCGATTCTACGGTCAAAAATACGTCTAGTAAGGTGTATCTGGGGTCCCTAACGTATCGAGCAGACAATGCCCGTAAGAGCCTCTACCATGTAGCTGAGACACCTCACAGCAAGTAGACCAAAGTGGCTCTTGCTTGTTAAAGGTGCGTCAACTACCCGCCGAAGCGGTGGGTTGGGAGTCCCCCTGGGATCATTTCGTCCATAAAATTATATACAACATAAAATAGTACAGTAAAATATCAAAATTTACATAAACAAATCTAGGAGACCTCAAAGCTCGTCTTCTGGGGGATGAGGTTGAAGGAAATGTCTTGCAGTTCAAGATGCTGGGCCGTTGATCTTCCTCTGATTCCTCTTAGTGCAATGAGTGTACTTCTTAACAGATCAAATCTGAATCGTGTTCTGATATTTGACTTGGCTCTTGGCTTCTTTTTTATGGTCAGCTATCATCTCAGAGACACGACCTACGAATACAGTGCATAGCGGTCCCATAGCGAGTGGAGCATCGTCAAAGGGTCACTTCTGGGATCTCAGCGAAACCTTGATGTCAAAAATAAATACATGTGAGCATGATTCATATGCACATTTCATGTCTAATAACCCATTGATTGCTAAATACCGAGGAATCAATGTTTCTTGATTGTTAAATTCAGAACTACATG